GAGATCGCCTCTGAAATGGGTGTTGAACTCTCACTCGATATGGTCCAGGAAGATCGGCTACAAGGAACCGGCATTCGCAACACGCCTGCGGGGACGCATGGCCATGATCCACGAGCTAATCGATCAGGTATCAACATCCTGAAGACCAATGCTCGAAGCCATGTGAACAAAGCAGACAAGATGGGCATGACCATTTCGAAGAGGCAGTTGACAGATCCTCTGTACGCCTTTAACTGCGCGGCACAAGATCTATCACCACTCTGCATCAGCTTCTTGGAGAAATTGGCAAATGCGGTCATTCCAGACCCACCAAGAACGCATCAGATGATAATGCAAGGTGTTGGCCATCGCTATGCTGGGAAGTTGATTTACATCAACGATCCTGAGAAGGTGGGAGAAGCGGACATGAGCGAGGATTTCCTGGTGTATTGGAAGAACAGGCTCTACCGCCCTGAGGTCTTTGCGGCAAGTTATGCCCAGAATGCAAAGCGCCCGCCAATATTGGGATTCCACTCTGAGTGGAAGACTGATGAAAAGGATCCAGATGAGCTTCTCCAGCTTCTGCTCGACTTCATCGCTGAGGACATGGCCTTCATTCCGAATGTCGACTTGCAACTTGGCAAGGAGACTAGGACCATGGTTGTCCCTCGAGCGAAAGCAGAGTCCACATCAGCCAAAGCCCTTGCGAGGGCTACACAGGACCGGCACGTGCTCACGAAGATTGGTACCAGTCCCAATGGTCATCCGCTTCCTCATCATGGAATCGCGGCCGTGACTGGAACCAAGGATGGTGGCAAGATCGATCAAGCCAATGGCAGCGTGACGATCGCTGGAACCGCGACTGGTGGAGCTCAAGCAACTGGTAGGAACATTCGCGCGACGGGAGTCGTTGCCTTTGGATTCAAAATCGAAAACCCAAACAAAAAGGAAACATCCAATAGGCAGCATGGCTCTCAACCGTGAGGCTGTTCTTCCTCCATCGCACCGCGGGAGCGGTTGCCCTTGATGATCGCTTCTGTGTTGCACCGGGGGACCGGATGCCGAACTTCGCTTTTGCGCCAGCAAGGTTTAATTCGAATGATGAAGGTCGAAGTACCTGTCACATTGCAAGTCCGAGAGACGCGCATACTTTTGTAGTGCTGATTCGCCATGCGGGAGCGTGTGCCGACCGGTGATACTCCTGCTTTCTGAAAGGCCAATCGTGCACTTTCCGCCAAATGCGTCAAAAGCTTGTGCTGTTTCTTCTTGAGCTGACTTCGAAACATGTATAGCTTGGCAGTACGAGTGAATACTAGCATGAACCTATCAGTGATTTCTCTGCCCTTGAGGTCAACTATCCTCTCCATCTCAAAGGCAGGAGCCGGTTTCGTCCGAATCGCACGTACCGGGGGACCGGTTGCCGTCGTAGGTCCCAAATTCACTGTACATAGTCTTCACTCCTCCCATTTTCGTTCAGCGGGGGGTGTTGTTTCACGCTAGCATAGTGTTATCTATGTCTCACTCGTGCTACTTTGGCTCAAGGCAAAACAGGTGCGACTAGGTGGCGCTTATCGGTCGTTTTCCTGTAACAACAATATATATATATATATAGTAACAAGTGCCACGCTAGTAGTAACAAATATATCTTTATATATACTGTATATATGGTACCTGGCACTGACCCCGAACGATCCCCAAAAGACGACAAGCCCGAACGCGTTCGTGCGACGTGAAACGCTGAGGCACATGCTGACGCGCGCCCGAGCCAAAGGATATACAACAGCTATTGCCAGCTGCTACCCGCAACTGAGCGGCAAGAACTGGCTGGAGTGATCGATCCAAACGAGCGCAAGCGTGATGGGCGACAGTTCTTGGGCTTTGACGGAAAGACAAACATGATATCATATGATATCATAATTTTTCAGGTGATTGTCCTTTTCTAGAAGCTCTTTATAGTTGTTCCTTGATTTCTCCCGACCTCGATTGGCTCGTTGGGATTGGCGTCGAAACCATGTGCAGGTCCGAGTCCCGGTCCCACCCATCCGTCGCCGACGTGTCACGACGTGTCACGGCGTCGTGACGTCATGTAGACTCTTGAGGAATAAAGTCGACATGTTTTTGATAACTCTGGAGAGTTGATGAATCAAGAGTCTACATGTGTTTAGATGTTAGACTAAAAGAGGGTCCCTTTCGCAAGAAGAGGCTCCCACATGTCCCAGCAAGATGGCCCTCCGTCCATTGTTTTTGGCTCAACTCGCCCACAAACCTTGAGAAACTGATGGAAGTTCTTTGTACCGAGAATGATCGACATATCTCGCTTAGGGCCTGCAAGTAGATGGGGTTCAAGGGTTTGTTGTCCAAAAACACATCCTGAAACACCCTGTGTTCGGTGCATCGCGCAACACCGGCCGCCAAGCTAAGGCACGACGTAGCAGCCGTCACACGCTTCTTCAACAGCTTCTATTTGAGGCGCTTCAGGTATCATCAAGTATCCATAATCTGCAACACAAATTGGCTTTGGGACAAAACCACTGCAGTGAACGTGCAGCAGAATAGGAGCCTTGCTGTTGGTGTGAAGAGTTGCAGGGTTCTTGTTCAGGAGATGTGGATTGTCACCATGGAAAATCCATCCAGCTAGTGAAAAAATCTGTGAGTCTCCATCAAGGCTGGTTACAACTTGCAGCATCTCGGATTGTCCAAGCTTCTGCCAGATCTGAGCTGCCTCACATCCCAGTGGATCCACGTTTTCACGTAAGCACATGTCTTGATAGGTGCCGCGTGCGACCGGGCGCCATCATCGTGGTGCACGACCGCTGGCACACTGCAGAGACGCTGCGGAAGGCCCTGCCGCGGATTTTGAAGTCAGGCAGATTGGACCGCGAGCTTCGTCCGTCGACGCGAGGCGTCCACGCTAGGCGTTCGCCGTGGTTCTGGGAGGATGTTTGGGAGGAGACGGGAGACGGGACCGTGATGATAGCGTGTGGAGCGTACGGAGGGTGGATGAGTTTGTGTGTGCGAAGGATGGGTCTACAAGGGAGTTGGAGCTTAAGCTCACGACTGAAAGCCCAACACAGGGATCTAAATGCTGCATGTTATGTTGTCCAATCATTTGCAAAGTTGTGAAGTTGCAGCAAAAGTGGAAGAGGGAGGCTGGTTGTAGCATCAGAGTGTCCAAGTGGTGTTAAATCATGTGAAATCCCTTAGATACATAAGGGGGACATCCTTTACGACAAACCTTTGCTGTCTTCCCTCACCAGTCTTTTTCCTTCGGGAAGAAGTGCATTGATTCAGGATGAAGAAAAAATTCTCCATCGCCCAGACGCTCCAAACAACCTTTGGTCCCTCCAAAGCGATCGGGATGGGTTCGACCCCAGACCCCTGACCCGAGGATTCGGGTCTACTATTTACGTCCGTTCTTGCTACTAGTAGCATTCTTGTTACTACAGGTGAAACGATTCCCAGTGAAACGCTTCCCAAGGAAGCTTCTAGCTTCTTGTTCCTAATTTATCGTGACCTAAACGTTTCCAGGATGCAACTTGTCTATCTTTTTGAGGAATGACATGTAGGCTGGCTAGTTCCAACGGCCGATTAAAGCGTTAAAAAGAGGGGGATGACATGGGATGACTATACATCCATAGATTGGGTCTGTCCTATTACCTGTAACAGTCAGTAAACAAGTCTCACTATTACAGAGAAAGGCCTTTACCAACCATCATCATCCACTGAGGCCCTGGAAATAGGATAGACCCAATCCAGACCTCATTGGAAGAGGTCTCTAACCCTGAAGTCGGACCCACCAGGGTTTTTGGAAGGGAATGGACAGCTAAAACGGGAAATGACAGGCACACATTGAACGCACCCTGTTTTGTTTTGGATAAGAAGATGCAGGAAGAGGATCTGATATTCTTGTCCTTGAGAAAGCAGGGAGGGCACTTGACAGCAGAAAGCAGCTTCTGGAAGGAATACAGAAGGTAAGACCCAACACAAACAAGTCAAACAATTCACAAACGGATGCAAAGTGTTCCGTGAAGACGTCTCCCGCGTCGGTCATCGCTTCGCCAGGGATGCGTTTGGGCACGCTCAGCGAGCTGGAAGCGGCCTACGAGGGCGAGATGGGCAAGAGCCAGTGAAAATCCAAAAGGGACGCGACACGACCGACCCGCACGCGAAGAAGGAGCGACCCTGCAGCGACCAGACCGACCTCCGCTCTGGAGAGCAGCGACCGACCGACCGACCCCGCTCTGGAGAGTGCTGGGAATTCGGGGGTTTCGGTGAGGTCTCGAGGCAAAGATCAGAGATGAGTCTCTTTTGTGAGTCATATGAGTGGAAGACATGGTTGGTTTTCCCATTTTACACACTCATCTGACAGGTGATGGTGTTTTGTTCCTCTGATTGGTTCTGCCAAATGGGTTGAAGATGCTTGAAAGGTCTCTATATTCCTTCTTCATCCCGGAATTACCACCGGCCGCTTCACTGGATTTATGATTGTTTAACTAAAGATCAGAAGCAGTAGCTTTGGGGAAGAAACCAAAACACGGGGGTCGCATTCTGCTGGACGGTCCTGCTTTCTCTGCTGCTACCCGTTATCCCTTAACATGGATTAGTACCACCAACAAGGGTGAGCCACCGCGTACTCGGATGGTCATCCGCAAATGACATAGTTGCAATATGTGCCAAGTTGCTTTGGGCCTCTTGAAATACCTCAAGATCTGTCTTCAAGACATTGACCCCAGCACCTCAAATGACTTGTAGCGCTGTCCCTTTTTTGCAACAGGTAGAGGAAGAGGCGCGTCGACATGGTGCGATCTTGAGATGAAAGTTTGAAAAAGGAAACTCTTCCAGCCACTGTGCACGTCTAGTCGGTGGCTAGATTTGGACTCTTACTGCTAGGACATCTTTGTTGCTTTGGGCTTTTTGCCAGCTTGGTTGGTGCTTGTTGTCTGGTGTTTAGGGTGACAGGAACCTTTGACAGGAACCCGGTCAGGTGCTCTTTTTTCAATGGGCAGGTGGTCGGTTGTTGAATGGTGGAGTCCTTTGAGACATGTTGCGTCCAGGCAAGGACTAGTCTAGTTGCATTCATGTTGCATCTCTTGGACTGTTTCATGAGCAAGGCCAGCAAAATGGTCAACAACCCCACTGACAATGGCTGCGAAGTATGTGTGAGCGTGCCTGTGTGTCCGACTGGGCCAGGTGGAGAACAGCCGAGTTGCAGCGCGGAGACAGTGCTTTTGGCATCATAGCGAGCGCGGAGGAGGGGCAGGAAAAAAGAATCTGGTTGTGTTTCATGGCCTGGTTAAGTTGTGCCTTTGACAAATGAACAAACGGTATGTGACACTGCCAGCACAACCTCTTCCAGAAGAAACTGCGTCTTTTGAGCATGGCAAATGTCAGGAAAAGACCAACAATGTGGCCTTGGTTTTCAGCTGGTTGATTTTAGGGAGACCGGGATCATGTGAGGAATTAACCCGTTTGAACCTGTGAAGTGAAGAAGATACCCAAAATCGAGCTGGGTGTTTGGATTGCGTGTCTTGCAGGGGGCTCGCAGCACTCCTTGAACATGGATGTGTTGTGCTTCCTGGAGGTCTTTTTTCGACCTATCTGAGGATTTTGGGGAAGTTTCGGCCCGTTGTGCAACCCAAAGCCAGAATGGCCATGTGAAAGATCCCGCTTGGCCACTTTAATCTTCGTTGCCCTTTCTTCCAGAAGAAGGACATTTCCCATCATTTCCCTATTCACCCAATGTCACCAACCAGTGTTTCAGCATAGTGACCAGTCTTTCAGCCAAGGACACCCGGATCTTCCGGTCTTCGCTCTAAGGATCTTCCGCTTCCAGAGCTCCTTGCTGAGTGTGGCCGAGTTCGTCGGGGGCCACAGCACCACGTCGGACGACGGTTCGCACCCTGGACTTCCATGGAACCCCTGGGACTTTTCCAGAACTTCACGGGATTTTGAGATGCAAAAGGAGGTACTTTGGTCTTGGGGTTGTGGGAAGTAGAGATGCTTTCCTTTTTGAAAGGATGTGTCAACATCGTCCAGCAGGGTGTTGAATACATATTTACACCGTCATATACCACCGATGTTGGTTCCGCTGCAGCTGATGTTGAATGAAGAAGGTATCAGGGCTCTTTGGTGTGGGCGTTGGCCAGAGACCAGACCAACCATTGTGGAGATCAAGTTTTGGAGAAACCGGAGGAACCATGTATGGGCAAACTGATGGTTGAAGTCAAGTTTCGGAGATATCACTCATCAATCCAGGCGTGTGCCAGTTCCGAGCAGACAGGGAGCTGCTTTGGGTCGAAGTGCCAGGACACCTCCGTTGGCCCGTCGTTTTCACAACGCCTCGTTTTCACCGCCACCGGTTTCAGGGTGATGTGTTCCACACGCCTGGCACGATGTACCTTTCAACGTCCGATGTGCCAGCGACCGATCACCTGCCTCTGGTGACATGGTGGGCAGGACATGGTAAGCCACCATCAAGGTTCTTTGATCAAACGCACTTGATTGAGGAAAAACACTTTGCCCAAGGGACACACTTGCCCTGATTGGATGTGTATGTGTGTTCCTTGTTGCATCCTCAACACTTGGCTGGAAATTACCGTGGCTCCGTCGTGATTGGTTGAGGATGACATCAATCTCCGGTGGGAAATGATATCAATGTTTTAAGATGTGAGCAGGTAGATGTGCAAAATGAACCCCAAAGCGTTGCCTGTTTCTGATGGGTGGATGCTGTTGTAATTGTACGCAGTACGAAAGTATGGTTTGCTCAGGGCTGGATTGATGGTGCAGACCCATAAATTATGTATGGCCTTTTTATGAAACACACACGAGGGAACACCTGCGACAGTAGTGAAGAACACTTTGCAACACGTTGCAACGAGCTTCAAGATTCAGGACGGCAGAAGGGAGGCTTCTTCTATCCCTGGCATCCATCTTGAAGGTTTGGGCTCAAATTCCAGAATCTGCTCCTGCAATGATGAATCTTGAACGGCCTGGAATTGTACTTAGAGTATTTCTCTTGTTCAAGGTGAGTGAGTTTTGAAAAAGACTCAAGATCCGCTTCTTGAGGCAAGGCAGTCAGTGTCAGGTTTTTTGCAACGAAGGGCATATGCAATGTGAATTCTAACTTAAGTGTCACCCGTACAAGTTTACGCGTAGAAAAGAAACGGTCCAAAGGAGGTTGTTTGCTCAAGTACTCTTACTTGAACTTGGTAATTGAATCCTTGTGCCGACAAAGAGGAGGAAGAAGACCTCCTTCATGACTTTATGAAAGACGCAAATTGAACAAAGGAGACCAGCGTAAATGAAGAAGCACATTATGTGTAGAATGGAGATATCAGAGGAAACCACATGCATAACATGAACTATGTAAAGAAAAGAAGATGTGTGCGTGTAACTAAGGAGGTTGCTTTTGCAAGGATGCGGTGCAAATCAAGATAGGACTCTTGTTTCATGAGGAAAAAGAACTTATGGACGATTAGAAGAGACTTTTCAGCAAATGAGATGTTGGTCAAGAACTAACAGCTCAGTGAATGTGAAAGGAGTAGACTCGATCTATCTCAAGAACAAGCGCCTATTTGTTCCGATATCAATTGCAACAGGGCGCTCTCCTGAATGACATGAATGGCTTGCATGATAATGCATATCTGTTGGATATGGTAGACGTGAAAAGGAGAGTTTATGAAATCCCAGCGCCCTGAATCCCAGCGCTGCTTTTGCACAAAATGGGCTTCTCCAACATGATCTTGACTGTTCACCCAAGCCGCTTCGAGAATCGAGGAGGAGGCAACAGCCTGAGAATTGTTGGAAGTCGTTGCACACTTTGGAAACTCTAGGAAGACCAAAGTTATGTGATGGAATGCAGACACTTTTACGATTTGAAACCGAGCACACCGTTCATGGATTTTTGCATACTTGACACTATATCAATCTTATAAATAGCACAACTCTTTGGCAAAAGAACAATATTTGGACGAAGTAGTTTTACAGACAATGAAGATACACAGTAAAAATATAACAGAAGTTGTTCTCTGAGAGACACGCGAAAGGTAGACTTTTCAAGCGGAGGGCGGAGGTAGCATGTGTATGCAATATATCAAGTGGGAAATATCAGGGTATTAGGAATTGAGGTGGTGAATGAAGTCAGAATTAGTCCTATGGCTTGTTGCGCTGGTCTCGGCCTGTTTCCTACTTGCATTCGGAGTCTCCGACACCGTCGCACCGAAGGAAAAACGATCGTCACATGGAAGTCGCCGAACGGACCGTCGTCGGACCGTCGTCGGACATCAAAAGACGGTCGTCCTGGGCGCACTTGTTTCTAATAGCTTCTTGCTCCTAGTAGTAGGGCCAGGAGCCTCTAGTAGCTTCTTGTTACTACTAGTAAGGCACCTGTTACTAGTAGCGATGCACCTTGTTCCTAGTAGCTTCTTGTTTCTAATAGCTTCTTGTTACTACTAGTAAGGCACCTGTTACTACTAGCGATGCACCTTGTTTCTACTAGCGTCCTTGTTACTACTAGTAAGGCACGTCACCCGGTGAAAATCCCCCAAACCGCTGGGCTCCGGTCGAGTCGAGTGATCGTCGATCCCAGGCTGGCAGTGGTCGCCTGCAACAGGCGAGGTCGGTGAGGAAATCGGATGTAGCCAAACAGAGAGAATGTGCAGAAACGGGAAACTCCCTGACCTCTGTGGCGTCGACGAGGTCAGGTCAAAGACTTTTAGGAGGTCCTTTACTGTAGTGCAGGGAGGCGTTTGCAGGGTCAAGGTGAGAAGGTTCAGGGGGTAGACACCAGTCCAAGAACACCACAGTCCTGAGTCCTGGGGCAGTTGGAGTTTCATATGACGGTAAGATACCAGATCATATGCAATGCTGCAATGGTATTATGGATTTTATCTCAAAGATACGAAGAAAAAGAGACGACTGCTGATTTGTGCTCTTGTGCTTTTTTTGGCATCAAGTGCTTTCGTCCATCTACAGAGGGGGTGAAATATGTTTGTGTCTTTTCCTGTCACCAGACAATGTTGTCCTCAGATGTTTCTTGTTGCAACCATGGCGGGGGTCTTTCATTCTGCCTCATCCTCAGTTGGTTTGCTTAGATGTGGTCATGCCTTTCATGTGCATTGTTTCGCGATGTCTACCGTGATCGTCTCGATGATCCATGTGGTCCTCAGGTCTTATCGGCCACGTCCCTAGTGATCGGGGGCGGAGAGGGGTGAATCTGCGAGCGCCAGGGACGTTTTGAAAGCGGAGGGACCCGCTTTCCGAGATCTCGTGATGACCTTGGTCCCGTTTTACAATGGGTTGTGTCACCCCCCCCATTTGTGAGTGATTTGTGGCAAAGATGGGGTTATAGAGCTTCCTGGAGCTCAACCCCACTGAAGGTGCCCAGACGGCTGTCTTAAAAAGGGGTTGGTCGAATTTCCCTCCGGGACACCTCCGACTTCGAGGGAAGATCGTGTTTTTTCTCGATTCCAAGCGACGGAGAGAAAGATCTTCAATCCAAACCGACTGTTTTTGAGACCGAAAAATGTTGAGAGACCGGGACCTCGGGCTGTTTCGGAGTGTTTGGGTGTGTGTCCTCGTTTGGCTTTGCTCTCGCCGTGGGGTGCACCCGGAACGATGCGATGCCACCGGAACGACGAAGCTCGGAGCCGCTCAAGCTGGTCCCATCACCAGACGTTCGGAAGAAACGAGAGGCCATCGGAAAAAGAAAAAAAAAGCCCTGGCAGGGCATGGTCGCTCCCCTGCGGTGAAGGTTTGGACGTTTGGACGTCACGAGTGCAGACGTCACTCGGTGCAGGCGTCACGAGTCGTCACGGTCCCGCGAAGACGACTCTTCTCTTCGATTCAGAAGTTCTCGGCCAGAGCTCGGCGCAGTGCCCGTTGCGCGTGCTGCGGCTCCTGTGTTCGGAAAGCCTTCCGGTTCACGTGCATGCGGCGGTGTTTCAGGTGCCACCGGTCAGTGCCTTGGCGTGTCTCTACGACCCGCGTGGGGACTCAGGTTTTTCTGGCTGTGAAGATGTTGGACTGCGGTTTTCTTGGCGAACTCTTTTTGGCGAAGAGTCACATGTCGATCATGTTGATTTCTAATGGAGTGTGGACATGTCTTAGAGTCAAATGTTGTTCTAACTATAGAAGAGTGTGGACATGTTTTAGTGAATTCTCTTTGTTGGAAGAGTCCTCCCTTCGACCTCTTTGGTTCCCACAAAAGAAGTTGTTCAATAAAAGGTTGCATATAACTTATCTTACTCTGCTCCATGACGGTTCCCTGTTGATCCCTTTAGATGCTTTTGTGGTGGACAGTTCACCATTCGACATGGTGCCCTGTTTTTAACCAGCTCTTGCGAGTAGGGATTGTTTAATTTATATCTTATTTCACTTTATAGGCCGGTCCATGAATAATTAATATAAATGACATCTTCTCCAAAATTTATTATAAATTACTTATTGATTTTGGAGAAGATACAAATAAGAAATACTAACATGAATTTTATCATTCTTTAAAATTCATGATATAAATTATATTATTACTTGCCATTAATTCATTTCTTATATCTCTTATTTGAATTAATGGCAATAGATATAATAGATTTAAATATATGGCATCATTAATTTTCAAGATAACTTATTAATTAATGATGCCCCCCAAAAACCAATAAATTAATAGAGGTTTTTGGGTTATAGGTGAATGAAAATTATTGATAAGAGATATTTTAATATAATTTTCATTCACTATATCATTTCTTTTATAACTTATATCTATAATCATGAGTTGACCTTTAATTTTAAAGAGGTCAACAGCCATCGGCTACTTCTAGATTTATACAATCGGTCGCTTTTTACCTTTCCAGTCCCTTGAATCTTAGGAAATAATTAGCAAAAGCATATATTTCTTTTATATTGTTACTTATATCTGCAGCAATATTAATATCTTATGCTGCATTATCTTCTTTTATTTTGTTTTGTGCCTGGGTCTTTGGGGGAAGACTCTGAGCATTGCAAAGAAGGTAAAACTTCTGACCACGCTTGTTTACCTTTGCTTTCCACTTGCCAAGAATTCCATCCAGTTGGGTAGTGGTCAAGGTGGTGTATGTCCGCGGTGATCGGCAGGTATGCACCCAGGCAAAAACCTGTTCTTGTTTACATCCTGAGCTGCTACCGTATGGGGTAGAGCTTAAAGAGCCGCCAACGGCTCTTTGGCCTTGACGTCCTTCCCAGAACTGACTGTAAATGGTGACAATGAAATGATATAAGTGTCACAACATATCACGGATGATGAACCATCGATAAACATTCAACAATCATTCATGAATGGAATGGATTTCAAGGAAAAGAAGACCTTCAACGGAATCACGACTCCCATCCGCGTTGTGCCATGTCCTGGGCCCTGTTCGGTCTCGCTTCGAAGGCCCTTTGCGTCCTCCGCCTGGGAGCTGATCAAAGTGGACCTGAGCCCCGTCACTGGTGCAGCATTCAGTCTGCAGCGTTCGCGGCGCGGTTTTCCGCGGATGGCTGGAGTGAGAACGGCTCCAGGCTGCGGATGTGTCAAAGGTGTAAGGGACGAGCCACGTGACGTTCCGCTCCCCCCCTCCCTACTTAAGTAAGTAAGGGATGCACCTGTTCCCTACTTAGCTACTAGTACGCTACTAGCATGGACACAGGATGCTCCTCACAAGGAAGCTCCCCCCGCACTAGAGGCCGCGGGGGGGTAGCCTCCTTGAAGAGTTAAATGAATCAAGAGCTGCTAAAGCTGTCAGATTGACTCATTGAAACAGGACTTTATATATATATATATATTGTCATTATACTGTATATATCCCAATCCTGGGATTGGCAAGTAGTTGTTTACGACAACAAACATGGGATGTTTAAGTTGAAAGACGATTCTTAGGGCGTGTCGATTCCTCCTGAGGCCGATTCCTCCCAGGACGTGCTGCGATGCGAACTTCTGGGCGGACTTCGTCAGCATACTTTATTGAGTCATGTCTTTGAAAGGAAGCTTCGTTCACAGCAGTCATTCTGCATGATGTTTATATATGTTGATGATCGTTTTACATTCCAATGAGGAGTCTCGTAGGCAAAGACCAAAGGGAAGAAGTGGCCACCCACCGAACAGAAACCATCGTCAATGCTGACTTCTTACATCATCCGAAATCAGCCGCCACGCTTTGAAGAAACAAAGTTCGTTTGCCACCATAAAAAAGAAATCCACGCTTTGAAACAGAAACCATCGCCTCCTTTGCTTCCGGGCCCGTCACTTCCTTCGTCTGCCTCGAGCGCAGGACGACGAGTCTCTCGCTGTGAGGGTGCCGCTTCCGGGTCGGTCGGCGCCGGCGGTCTGAGGAGGACTCCGGACGAACGTGGGTGGACGTGCTTGTGGAACCACACGTGGTTGTGGAACCACACCCATGCTTGGTGTCATTGTGTAAAGACCACTCCCTGAACTGTTTGTGGTGAAAACCACTCCCTTTGTGGCGAAAAAGAGTGTTTTCAGGGGCCAGCAGGTCCACGAAACGATTTCAGGGAGTCTACGTGCATTGACCCCCCATCAACCACCTCAATGATGCATGGCAATGGTGTGTTGGGGATTAGAAGTATGTCTCTTTGGGGGGAAGGGGATGTCATGGTTGGCACTGACATGACGAAGGGGATCGCGGGCGTTCCAGAAAACCCCGGTTTTTCATGGCAATGTTTTGTCCTTGAGCCCTCTGGAACCAGCAACAGGTATGTGATATGTATGCAGTATCTACAAATATGTACCCTGGAGTTTGTGCCATGCACGCCATACCAGAATGCAGTGAGATACATGCACACACCCTGGTGCTCAGAGAAGGATAAGAGAAAAGGTACACAGGTCCGGTCCATTTATACACTTTATATATATATATAATACATAATATATGTGTGTGTGACACATAGATAGATATATATATATATATCATCCAGTCATAGATTGAAAGAAGCAGCACCCGTTCCGCGTCCGACCGGTCCGACGGGTCGACGACCAGGTGAACTTGCAAGATGGCCTCCTCGAGCTGGTGCAGGCCACAGCGGTCACGGCACGTGCGTCCCGGTGCGTCCTCGGTTTGGTGTGTACTTGGTTCCATCTTGGATGGTATGTTTGGTATGTGTGGTATGTTTGGTTGGGTATGGTTTTCGGATATGTTGTTATGGTTTGATGTGTTTTGGTATGTTTGCTTCCTTCGTTTTGGGGTTCGTTCATGGGCTGGGTGTTGCCTTGCACCATTGATGGCAAGGGTTGGCATAATTGGTGTTCATCTTGGTCTTTTGCTAGACCCAGGGGGCAGCTAGCTAGCAGCAAGGACCCACATGGCTGCTACGACTGGGCTCTCTTCAGCACGGCCGTCTGTGACAAAACAACCGATCCACACCGGCGTCAAAGGTGTGGAAGACGATGCTGTCAAAGGAGGTCAGAGACGCTATCAAAGAGTCTCTGCTCTCATTCACTTCGCAACACCACAGCCTGGCTCACGCTCCCAACAAGGTGTTGTTTTTCCTCATGACCAGTAGGAAATCCTTTGTGCTCAACTTGGACATCAGAAACTGTGCAGAAAAGCTCCCATGATTGTTTTCAATATACAGTCATTTCAGGGGCTCGATGGCACAGACCTCAAGGGTTTCCTTTACTTCTCTTGGGGAGACCATGCCATTGGTCCTCTCAATCCACCACTGTAAGAGAAGTCGTTCCCCAAGGCAAACGTCGATGGACCAAGGCTGTTCGTTTAGAAATCGCAGCGATGAATGCTTCATGGTCCGTTAACACTTGATACCCTCTGACTCACTAACATGGAAGTGGAAAATGGTCACTTGGAAGACTACTTTCCTCTACCAACAGGGGGTTTTCCACTTCCAGAGTCAGAGCGTAGTCAGAGAGGAAATAGTGTGTGTGTGTGTAACCCTTGGAATCATAGGGATCCTTTCGGATTGTTTTAGCTTCACAGTTGTTTTCCTTGTGCAGCAGGGGCGTGTGGCACTCTCGTCCTACCACACGCAATGAAGCTGTGGGCGAGAGTGGGAAGGGAAACTTGGCCAGTTTCCTGTACCTGCTGTGATAATTACTCCAATCTCCGGGCCCTGCTTGTACCTAAAACAACAAATCCAGCCTTTGCACCGGTTTGCTCTCGGCAGTCACGCATAGGGCTTTGGTTTCGGACGACGTCACTCTGTCGCTCGGTCGTTCGACGGTTCCTTTAGAGTTGATGGCCACGCTGAACTTGATGGACCTCCACTTCCTTTTCAGGTTCCTTTACCTGTACTCTTAGGAATTGGTAACCTAGGCCGGCGTGTGGCACCGCTTTCAGTTCAGCACACCCTATCCTAAGTGTGTTTGGCCTCGTGCCAACCCGGGATGAGCCCGCAGAGTGCCTCCCGTGGACCCGTCGAACGGGTGTATGTCCAACGTATCCCCTGCCCGGATACAGAGCAGCTCGCAGCGAGCGTAGGTGGCCTAGGCCGTACGTACGATGATTTTGTCTCATTTTAGGAATTCCAAGCTGGCTCATGCCTTTACGTGACCGCAGCGGTCTAAGCAGCCAGCCGCTTCGGCAGGGCGCAAGGTGACCACAGCAGTCAAAGTATTTTTGAGGTTCATTGGAACCTGTTGGGACCTTAGCCCCCTTCTCCCCCTTCCCTTCCCCCTTTCTTTCTTTGCTTCCTGGGGTTTTCCTGAATGCAACACTCAGGATCACCCCTCTCTTTCTTTGGTGCGTCCCTGGACGCTTGTTCGTAGCTGGGAACACCTGCCTTTTTTCTTTTTTCTCTCCTCTCCCTTTCTCTCCCTCTCTCTTTCTTTCTTTCCTTCTCTCTCTCTCCTTCCTCCCTCCTTGGGTGTCCCTGGATGCTTTTGTCATAGCTGGGAACCTTCTCCTCTCTTCCTTTGGTGTGTCCTTGGACGCATGCGCCGTAGCTGGGAACACCTTCCTTTCTTTTCTCTCCTTTTTCTCGTCTCTCCCTACCCCTCCCTCTTGTCGGCACCTTAGCTTGGGATACTACTAGGGGCTCCTGGCCTTCCTACTAGGTGTTAGGTGTTTCTTTGACGCAACTAGAGGTTCCTGGCCTTACCACTACTTGGGGGCGAAATCTTGCCTCCCCTCGGGGAGGCGTGTGTGTGTAACCCTTGGAATCATAGGGATCCTTTCGGATTGTTTTAGCTTCACAGTTGTTTTCCTTGTGCAGCAGGGGCGTGTGGCACTCTCGTCCTACCACACGCAATGAAGCTGTGGGCGAGAGTGGGAAGGGAAACTTGGCCAGTTTCCTGTACCTGCTGTGATAATTACTCCAATCTCCGGGCCCTGCTTGTACCTAAAACAAGAAATCCAGCCTTTGCACCGGTTTGCTCTCGGCAGTCACGCATAGGGCTTTGGTTTCGGACGACGTCACTCTGTCGCTCGGTCGTTCGACGGTTCCTTTAGAGTTGATGGCCACGCTGAACTTGATGGACCTCCACTTCCTTTTCAGGTTCCTTTACCTGTACTCTTAGGAATTGGTACACCCTATCCTAAGTGTGTCATTCTAGCTTTGCACACATCTCAACACTCGCGTTGTGCGTCAAACGCATTCAAACGCCGCCGCCGTGCGCTGCAAATCACAGGCCTTAGCCAAGGACTTCGGGGAAGAGTTCGCCATCGGCCTGGGCACTTGGGGTGTTAGTTAGTATCTTTGGCAGTGTTTTTGTGACTGTTGTGTTTTGTAAGTTCAGTTATATATATATATATGGTACCCCCCCCCCAAAAAAAAACATATGTTCACATCACTTTTGCTGGTATTTGCAATATTTTGTGTCTATTTTGGGTTGCCTTTTGACCCTTGTCTTTTTTTGGGGGGTACCATATATATATATATATATTTGTGCACGTAGGTTGCATGACTTGTTTGTCCACTTTGGAAGGAATGCAGTCAGAATACGTTCAATGCATTCAGAATGCATTCCTGCCCAATACCAAGACCAAGATCCAAGATTTGCACAGAAGTCTTGTGGAAAATCTTGGAAATACCAAGATCCAAGATCCAAGATTCCCACAAGACTCCTGGCTAAAATCTTGGATCTTGGTATTTCCAAGATTTTAGCCACGAGTCTTGTGGGAATCTTGGATCTTGGATCTTGGTATTTCCAAGATTTTCCACAAGACTTCTGTGCAAATCTTGGATCTTGGTCTTGGTATTGGGCAGGAATGCATTCTCTGGCATTCTCTGGGCAGGAATCATTCTGAGGAAATATCACTTACAATATCTCCCTGTGAGCGCGAAAGGCTCAAAAAACTCCTCTTTTTTTACGTCCGGGCCCATGGCGATGCACGTTTCGGGCACAGTGCAGTGGACCAACGGGCAGGCGCGGGTCAAACCTGTTCAAGGGCAACGTATGGACCAAGTACTCTGGAAGCGCAAGTTGGCAGATTTACTGCAAGCCAGTGACACCCAACTCATCAAACTACTTCGTCAAGATGGGCTTCTACAAGATTGAACAGGCAAGAAGTGCCCTCGATGTGACAAGGGCACATTGTCAAAGCTTCAACCCAATGTTGACCACGGGATGCCTAGACATCGTTGCAATCGGTTTGGTTGTCAGGCATACCTCAATCCTCACCACCTGCACCCAATCTTTGTGGACGGAAGAGGTGCTAGCCACACACCTTTGCAGACCCAGTCCGCCTTGCTCTTCTTGCTTCTCAACCGAGTGTCGCACCCTGCCATCCATCGCATTCTTGCTCTCAACCACAAGGCCATCGAAGATATGGAGAAGCGGCTGAATCATCTTCGCAAGGGCTGGGTGGAAGAGAAGGAGCAGTCAATTATCTTTGGAAATGGCAAGGATTGGACAGATGTGGAGGCAGATGAAGCCACCTTCTCAAGCACAGACCTGAAGCAGTTGGCCGACAACCCAGAGCAGCCCATGATCTGGGAACAGTGGTGTGGCATTGTGCAGCGGGGTTCTCCACACACACTCCTTTTGAAAAGGTTATCTCCCCAAACGTCTGCTCGGAGAGCGCCTGGTCCAGGTGCAATCAGGAAGATGGAGTGGCGTCCTCTAGCCACTAAGCACCTCCAGGATCGCGCTATCGTCCTCCACACGGACGCCGCCAAGTCGTACAAGCTGAAAGTGAGTGGCGTTCTCCACGACCAGGTGCGGCACTGCAAAAAGCGTGTCAAGGTCAAAGGCAAATGGGTGTGGAAAATGCCTACTTATGTGAAGATTGCCACCCATAAGGACCCAAAGACTGGTCGCCAATTCAAGACCAAAGGCGGTACCCAGATCATTGATCGTGCCTGGCGCTTTCTTAAAGATCGGGTTCAATTGAATCAACATTGCCGGGTGGGGAGTCCTCTTTTGCGGTTGAAAATCCGCAGTGCACAGTATGAGTGCTGGCACAGAAACTCTGATCTGTGGACTGCCTCTGGTATCTTGTGCACTTGGCACTTTGCCAAGTGAATTTTGTCTGCCTGCAAGGAAAAAATGCATCTGCAAAATACGTCTGAGAAATGTGTCTGCAACATTCTTGTTGTCATATCATAACATCTGTCTCTGGCGCATCACAAAATCAAACGGAGTAACACCAGGACTCAAAAACATAGGTTTTGGGGGGGGGGGCTAGCATAATATACATGCATAATATACCGGCTTTGGTTTGCTATACTTCAACCAGGTATCAATTGCGCTAGCCTAAGATCTATCGGCATCTCTTGCTACCGGATGCTTTATTTTTCAGCATCCTGTTGGAACATACTGCTTTTGTGTCTCAGTGAAGGTACGACAGGTGTTGCTTACAATTATGCGGTGCTTACATGGCGTTTACATTGTGTTGACATTTGTGTTCCCAGGGTGGGTGGCTTTGTGTAGCCAATCCACCCGGGATGGGACTGAGGCGCGCAGACCGAGACTGAGACGACCGAGCAGTTGCGGCCGCTCAGCGAGGCGACCGTTGTGTGTGTGTGGCTCTAGGAAGCAAAGGGCATCGCTACGAACGGAGCAAGGACGCTACGAACGGGGCTCCGGGCATCACTAGGAGCATTCTTACTACTAGTAACAAGAAGCTACGTAGCAAAGGGCACCTTTAAAGGACAACGCAACACAAATAGTTGTGGCTCCAACCTAAGAGCGATGGCCTCCAACCTACTAGCGATGGCCTCCAAGGGAACCTCTAAACAGAAGAGACCGAAATCCCAGCAAATCCTAGTGCGACATGTTTTGGGCAACTTGAGTCGCGTCACGTCTCTTAGGGCTACGGCCCTTCACGGTTTCTTTGTTTCGGCTTCGTAAGTTCAGGTGTCCGGCCGTTCTCCGGGCCTTTCTTATGACTGGTTCGTTCGACGAATGGAGACTCCCCGAGTAGTGCACATCACATCATTGTACATCGCCACAGCACATTTCACCAAGACACCACAAACACAGAAACAACCTTGTAAACACGTAAGCCAAACCCAATAGCGATGGCCTCCAACCTACTAAACACGTAAGTAAATACACATCACAGAAACAAAGGAAACTACACTACACACCGCATCATGACACTGTGCATCACTCGAATCTCGCGTTGCCTTAGGGGGGACCGTTCTACACATGAAAGCTCGTTGTTTGCAATGCCTTGCGTCCTAGTAGCGTTCCTTGCTCCTAGTAGAAATGGCCTCCACCCTAGTAGCGATGGCCTCCACCTAGTAGCGTCCTAGCTTGCCTGTCACAGTTCCCGCAACCAGGAGTTCAAGTGCATCTCTTTGGGCGAGCTCTACTTGCCACCTACGCAGCAGACCTCGGGCAATCACATGTCGATCTCAGTGAGGTGGAATTGAAAAGACTAAGTCGTGGACGGTTCGTTTGATGGTTGTCTAGACTAGTCACCTGGAAGTCTAGTAGATTTATATCAACGGCTTGTGAAATGGACTTGCGGAAAAATCGAGAGAACCTGGCGAACCTGTGTGGTATCTCCTAGGGTTGGTTCCAACTGTTGTACACCTAGTTTGGCCATGCGCGTTCACAAAGAGTCATAGCATGAAGCCCAATCCATTGCCTAAATCTTGGACTGTCGGAAGTCCTTACCTTCCAACACCTTTTTCAGGTTCAAGGTACAGACTATTTAGGAAAACGATGAAGGTTGATTGATTGTCAATCCGCCACAACTGTCACGAACACCATGGGTTACAAGTGTCTTGAGATTCTTGGCTTTGACAAGCTTCCCACCCCCTGTTCAAGTCCCAAAGAACACCGGACCACACCATGCGCAGAAAACCAAAACTTTATGCCAGACGAGGCCTATTTGTGCTGATTTGCGGCTTTCTGCGCCAGGAGCCCCAGTCGATCTGGCACAACACAGCGACAGACCGAGAGCAAAATAGTTCTGGCAGACACTTGCTCGTAGGGAGCAAGAACAGTCTGGTTTAACGATCAAGACGAACACCTGAAAGGAGTAAGAGTTCATGTTCATTTTTGCACGGTGAATCTCCGGCAGATCAACCGCTGCCATTTTTCAGGCAATGCACCACCAATCTGGCTGGCACTGGCATCGCCACGGCATCACCTGGATGCTTCCGATCGGTTTCTCTAACACAGGGCGGGGCATGAAAAGTGGTTCTCCGGCATGGTCCATGGTGTAACTGATTTGTGCCCTTGAATAAGAGCACTAGCCTTGGCATGTGCGGTTCAGCTGTTCGATCCTCCCCGATGCGTTGCGCCGCGTTCTGCGGCGTTCCGCCGTTCTGCCAGCGGTTCCACAGAGGTCTCCCCTCGATCTGGCAGACAGGTGGTGTCGGCCCATGCTTCGGTTCCAATCCAGTTGTTCTACACCTTTCTATAATGTATATATGTATATTTATTGTTCTGCCTGTTGCTTGTTTCTCTGTCTATCTACCTTCTACCCCTCTCGTTCTATTTTCCTCTCGAACTACTGCTGTTTGCATCAGTTGTTCGGTTCATCCGTCTATCCATCCTGTTGTCTATGTACCTACGCACATCTACCGACGAGCTCTCCAGTCGCGGATGGGTGTACCGACACACAGACTTGAGACGCACTGCCGTCAGCGGCCGAAGAAGACGGAAGCATGAGCAAAGGATTCTCGTGCGGCTCGGTGTTTGCAGCGTTTTTTTGTTGTTTCTTTTTTTAGACCTGCCTTGTTCCCCACGGTATAGAATCGCATGCTTCTTCATGCCTTTTTTTTTCATGACATTCTGCATGTGTTTGCCTCTTTGCCAAAATGCATGTCCTTCTCTCGGCCATAGACTTTTACAGCACATGCTGGTCCTTTTATCGCACGGCACATGCGACCCCCACTGCTTCCATTTCCCTCAAAACCCTCAAACCTCGTCCCACCGAGTCTGGGGAGATCACTCGTGGCTTCTTCAAAGAACAAGATCTACAAACGCTGATCCCGCCGATCCGCATGAAATTCATATGGATCTTTTCGATGGCGGGTCGGCCGCCATAAAGGCGTCCAGGGGACCGCCTACGACTATAAAGTCGGTCCCCTGCATGTGACTCTGGCTAGCTAGACACTACCTCATTGAGTTCATCTTAAGATCATGAAAATGTTAAGAAAGCCGCACTGAGTTGAACAATCACTGCTTTGGTCACCTCAAGGTTTGGTCGATCAAGGTCTCATGGGCAGGTGGCCGGCCCTGTGTCGCTCGGTCGGAGAGTTCGTTGTGGAAAGACGAAGCCAGATGTTCCACATCTTGTTGGCTCACCAAGCAGTTCGGTTTGTTGTTCCTTGTCTTGGGCGTCACCCTTTTTGGGGAAAGACTTCCAAGACACGTCACGTGTGGAGATCGATGGAGTCCAAGGCCCGTCTTCGTCTCCTTCACGGGCTTATCCCTGACCTTCCCTGAGATCCGCTTGGCCAACGTCACAACAACTAGAACCAAGCTGGGGCAGGCCAGGCGGCTGAGAGCGAGCGGTGGAGAAGAGCGAAGAAACCAACCAACTTTGGAGGAAAAGGGTCGGGTTCCCTACTTCCGGCAAGTATATCTCAGCAACCTGCAAAGGGGCTTAAAAAGTGGTAAGATTCTCCAGGAAGCTGTTCTTTGAGGAGTAAATGGTTCTCCACAAGTCTAGATTGGTTGGTCTTGGTGTAGGTGTTCGAGCAGTGGGAGGAGCGCATCAGTTTCTTGTGTATTGGCGATGCTGACGCTGGAGCCCCAATCAACCAATTCAGAATCGGCCTTCCTACAATGCTGAGCAGGGTTTTTTGTTTTTGGTGCTTGCAGGTCGGCTCCAGTATGGAGTTTTTTCTCGCCTTAGTAGCAGGGTGGTAGTCAACCCCAGGAAGAGTGACAAGAACCTGCCCAAATGAGCAAGCAGCGCATAAGGTAGGATGGTCCCTGGGGCAATGCCTGTGGTACTTTCCGCCAGGAACTCATCGCACATTGCATCGCCTTCCTCTTGCCGCTCAGTCTGATGTGAAGGTTTTGAGGCACGAACAAAACAGTGCAGGAACGAATGAACCACATGGGAAAGAGGGTGAAGAACGATGATTCACCATTCTGTGTCACCTTGCCACCGAAAGCGCAAGCTTTTTGAAGTCAGGGTCCTTTTTTGAGGGGCGAGCCAAAGGCCTGACAACGGTGGTTCAGGTCCTCCGCAAGTGCGTCAGAAGACCAGGGCCAAGTTGGACTGGACCCGTGAGGTGTTCCAACCCGGTTTGTGATCTATATCTATTGAAAGCTTCTACAAAGAAAGCAAAGGACCGTCATGTTCAAAAGAAAACCGTGTTTTTTCCTCCGTTTCTTCTTGCCAAGGCTCAACAGCCCTGTGTTGCTGGGCTCCTGCGACCTCTTCGGCAATCCTGTCCAGGCAGCGCGCGGGTCTGAACCGGGGATCTACCGCAGGTCTGGTGGGTTTGGGATGCTCGAGTTCGACCTGCTTGATACCGACGAGTCTCATGAATCAATGGTCTGAAAACATAGTTCTTTGAGACCGATATGTGGTGAGCGCCAGTTTAGGGAGACACTACATATATATATATATACTTCCAAACACATACTGACTGCCGTTCAACTGGAGTGCCTACACTCTGCAAGCTCGATGAGCCTGCAGACCTCAGCCAATTGCAGTCTCTCCTGACAAAGCCAAAAATGATCAAAAAGCTGTTCCTTGAGAAATGAAGACCTTCAGTATAAGACTATAGTGTATTTGCCATCGGAACAGGCTTAGTGGCTTACGTAGTCAATCACTTGCTGCCCCGGCCTTCTACGTCCCCCCGCAACCCGACCCGCTTGACGTCCCTCCTCCCGTCCCCCGCTTCCGTACGAGGCCTATCGACATCTTCGCTCCGGCCTCGGGGTGCGGTCCCCGGCGACGGGCGGTCGAAGGCCTCCGAAGGCCACCGCTGAACGGTCGTTTCGTCTCTCAACGGCCTGCAACTTACAGTGGTCACGGACATCTTGTGGCCACGAGAAGAAACCCTTGAAACCATGGCTGAGAAAATCGCAGAACATGTACTTGGTTCTCCCATGAAATCCATGGCTGTGAACTCCATGAGGACGACGGTGACTATCCCAGGCTGAGGGAGACCTCTTCGGACACACAGCTGTCAAAGGCTCCCAATCTTGGAACGGGAAAAGGTCCCAACCTGGTTGACTTGTCCCGATCCATTTGGTCCCCAAGATTCGATCAAACTATCTAGACAAGTAGCTGACGGTTTTTACCTCTTGCATGTGTCCTTGGTTGGACCTGTGAAAAAAGTCCTGTACTTGTTTGGTGTTTTCTTTGCTTGACTAACTGTCCTCTTCTCCGATTAGATCCACTTTCCTTTGCGCACCTGAATTTCAGTAGGGTGTGTACTCCTGTGCTTTATTCGACAATCTGGCATATCGTCCACAATTTGGCCGAGTTCCTACATCCAAACGACAAATTGCCTCAGAGCTGGAGTTGGGCATCCCAACGACATATTTCCCTTCCAATCAGAAGCACCAAAAGGTCCATGCAACGGCCTCGTGATCCTTTCCGGATGCTTTGAGGTCTTTTTGGCTGGTTTGAGGACCAGGTCGAACCATCGACCGGTTCGCTCGGTCGAACTCGCCAGGATTTGGTCCAACGACCTTTGGGTGGAGGTCTCGGCTCCTTGGTCAGCGCCTCAGGGTCTCGGTCGGGTCTCGGTCTGGTCATGCACTCCGATCTGCATGACCTGCGGGGGGATGATGAAGCGGGGACCAAACGAAAACACCGGTACTCATTGGTATGCATTGGTCGTTTCTACTCGATGAGTGAGAAATTTCTGCACAGCAGCCATTGCAGCAAACTTTCTGCAAAGCTGGATACGCCTGCGTCACTTCGCAGGCAGTCGAAGCCCAGATATCGGTAGAATATGGTCGAATCGGTGTCATCAGGTTCTTGAAGATCCCTCGATTTGCCAGATCCAGCGCTCTGGATCTACCATCTTGGCTTTTTAGGCATCGCAATCCAGTTGACTCTTTTTTGGACATCTCAAGATTACCCACCTCACCCACCTTGTCTCTGGCTAGCTGCTAGTCTCTGTTGCCTGAGACCTGACTATGGCCAGCCTGCAACCTGTCTCCACTGGAATGGCCCCTTCAGCCTTTTGACCCACGACCCACCCCCCTCCACACCTCACCACACCAGGCCCGTCACACCGCTTCCGCTTCGCTGCTGTCCCTGGCAGCGCTCTGTGATTCCTTGCGCCGGGGAGCCGAAAATGCCGGGTGAGCTTCAAGGTGAGGTGAAAAAGCTAGGAGGAGGCGGTCAATCTTAGAGGAGTGTTTTTTCGTGCTCCACATTGTATCTTAATTTTAAATTGTATCTATCTCCAGGATAAATCGAAGTACCGCCAAGTAGATGCTATTTGGTGGCTCGTGCTCCTAAGACATGGTGTTGCACAATTTGGATGTAGGTGACATGATTTATGCTGTATTGGCTTATCTAAATATCTCCATGCTGTATTGGCGCAGAGAACTTCACGTTCGCTTTTCATCCTAAAGCCCAGTGCAGCCATTCTGCAGCCATTCTGACTCCAACAGTCCAGAATCTCCGTGCAGACAACGATGGCACTGGTGAGTAGAGTTGTCTACCCATCTGCACGCAGGGAGCCCTGAAAGCGGGAGGAGGGCGCCGTTGGAACATCCGGTACAAGTACAGAAGGACATTCGCCCGTGCGGAAGCCTTTGATTACATTTGGCTTCAGCTGGCCCCTATTCACGACTGCTGGCTTTCCAACCAACCGGTTTGGGTCAATTGCATGTACTTGACTGCAAGTAGCATCTCCTGTTCCGGCCCTTGAGCGACTTGAGGGGCCACAGATGTTCGAAAGACGATCCGTGGACTCTTGTGGGATTGGTTGTTGGATCTCGTTGTGGGATTGGCTGCCAGACCTGTGGTTTGTATTTCCTGGGGTTATCTTGCTTGCAGTGGAGCCATGGTTTCTCCAACAAGGTTATATCTTCACATAGATGTTTGCAGTTGCTCAACTAGCATGATAATTAAGTGGACGGCATAGTGCAGGTATGTGACACAGAAGCTCCTATGAAGACTTACACATGTCAGGTGGTGAAAACATGTCCATCAACAGCATTTTGCATAAGGCCCAAGAGTTCCACAGTGCTAAAGTCTGAGATGGACCCGCAGGAATGTATGCTAGTTCAATGCACCCAGCTGACACTTGCACTACTCCAAGTTGCGACATCGTCCGGAATTGTCCGCCTTCTTGTAGGCCTGCCTCCTGTTGTGACAGGAGGTGCATCATGCCAGTAGTAGCAATGGCCTCCAACCTAATAGCCATGGCCCTACTTTTCCAACTCCTCCGTTCAATACACCCGTTCAGTCACCCTCGTTTTCCCCGGGCTTCCTCGTTTCGCGACTCTGTCAGCGGGGGTTGAGCCAAACCAATGGAAGGCAAAGGAGGACTTCAAGTAACTTCAAAAGTATATTCTATATACATGTTACCACCCCGAACCATATCTACCATGTATATAGCAACGCAGCTTTCGTTCTACCAACAACGGTGCACCGGTGCAACGGCACGACCGCAGTGACCAACCGGTGAGGCCTCGTGGATTCTCCCACGCCCGTGGCGGCCGAGCTCCCCGCAGAGCCCTTGCGGTTCTTCCCAGGCCGGGCGCGCGAGGTGTGACGAGTTTTGCAGAGGCGATTTCTCACCAGGGCAGGAGTTGTTGGTGTTTGTCTGAATCAAGAAAGGATCCGGAAGAAGTTTAGAACAATACACCTCTCTCAAGGATGGGTGCGAATGGAATATGATTTTGTCTTATCTGAGTCTCGCTTGTTGCACATTATGAAGATTCTGCACACGATGACTGTGTTCCTCAGCACTGCTTCGAGCGGTATTTGGATCAATCATGATCAACCCACCCCTGATCCCACGACAAGTCTTTGTGATGGACGACTCCCCGACTGAACAAGCTGCTCGCTTCTGAGCACAAGACCCATGAGTATTCGTCACCCGCTTTTTGTGCGGTGACGTTTCTTGAGACCAAAAGCCTGGGCGCACTTCACATGTTTCCGGGTCCAACTCAAATGGAACTTTTCGTGGTATTCTCCACATGTCGTGACAATCAAATGCTGCACGACTTGGCTCTTTGATGAGGTACCAGCTGCAAAGGAGATTGAAATGGTAACAATGGCCTGGCCACGAGAAAACATGGCCCCGGCCGCCTCTCAAACTGAGATTGTGAAAAAAAAAAAAACGCATCACTCTGTGCATGCAGGAGATGGTATCCGAAAGGCCCAGACCAGTACCAGCTCCAGGACTCTTTTGACAGCGCAGGCAACGCGTCAGGTGAGGTCAGAAGTCCAGTTCCGGTAGGAGGATGTCTTTTTGTGAACCCCCTCGTACAACAGGTACCACCAGAATCACCTAACAAGCGCACAAAGTACCTGTTGTATGAGGAAGTTGGTTTCTTAGTCATTTGTGGGAACCTCTTTGTTGGATTGATCAGATGCAGACACTCGACACTCACCTCTACCATCATGACGATCAGCGGTGGCTTCTCCACATATCTATATCATGGAGCGAACGGACGAGCACGAAGCACGTCTGCGTGCCCCTTCTTTGGTTTTGCTTAGGGGTTGGCGTTTCCCAAACTGGATGAATCCCCTTCCTGATAATATAGTGTTCATGTTTTCGGGGTTCCTCGACAACAAATCCAAGTTCAAGCCATTCTCGCAGCTGTGCAGCCATCCCAGGAGGATGACGGCCAGATCACCCACAACTCAACGAAAGCTGGAAGGGGTCTTAGACCGCCGATGGTTTCACGCATTCACCTTGCAGCATTGCAAATCCAGAATGACTCCAAACCGATCCATGCACTTCGCAACCACATTCATTCGATGGCAGGAAAACCATGTTCTAACAGCTCACCGTCACTGCTAGTCCATGTTGCTACAAAAAGAAGTTGTGTACCCTCCAACGCACGTTCCGTGGAAGTGGATGGCATGCACCCTTGGATGACGATGTTCCTTTAATTCCACTTCCATGTAAAGTGTCCGTCGGAGTCTATTTGCTACATACAACATCATCAAGAGAATTTGTATACATTGACATATATACTGCACTGGAAATACCTATATATAGAATCATACAAAGTGAGTCGTGAAAGAAGTTACATACGTAGATACTAGGGGCTACTGGCCTTACTACTAAGAGCAAGGACGCTACTAGGGGCTACTGGCCTTACTACTAAGAGCAAGGACGCTACTAAGGGGTAACAAGAAGCTGTGTGTTTTTCTTTTTTTTCCAAATCCAGGTTTTACGGTTTTCTTCTGCTCAGGCAGTGACCATCTGTGGCCCGGGTGCCGGCATCCAAGCGAACCAACAGGCAGTCGCTTCGTTCACGGCCGGACCAACAGGGAGAAGCACCTTCCTCAGCCTTCCCTCCAAGCTCAAAAATTCAACCTCCAAGACGCCAACAGAATGTGTCTTGGTAGGGCGTACCAAGAAACCGGTTTTGACTAGGTCCAAACGAATCGTTTTGAAACTGTTTGGGGTCTATGCTGGTATAATTCAGAGTTTGTTCAAACATATTAGTACTTGTTGCAAGACACCAGTAAACATCCCAGGTGGTGCAGGGTGTCTTCCTTACAACAGTAACAGCATCAGTCGAGTCTAGCTCCAGACCGGTCTGCTCCGTCATCACAGACTCCGTGAGGCGTGGGCCTCGCTGGATCAGAATCCACGAGTCTATCTCCAAGTCTTTGGCCAGTCGAGGCTGGGCCGATTTCGGACCAAGTTCTCGTCCCAGAACTTCTCGCTTCTTCTCCGATGGAGAAAGACATCCATGTCGATGTTTCTTTGGGACGCGACGATTCTCTCCATGTCTTGCTCAGCATGGGGTGACGTGACCACCATGTTCCATATGCTCCATATCATTCCATGTCAGGTGTCGTTTCGCGCGTTCTCCGCACACGCGCCCATGAATTCTGCATATGTCTTTGTTCGTAGTAACAAGGGCATTCCTACTAGTAACATCTAGTAACAAGGGCATTCCTACTAGTAGCAAGAAGCTACTAGTAGCGATGCACCTTGCTACTAGAGTTTGTTCCGTGAATTCACCATGGAGGGGCCACTATGACCACTACCCCTTGGGATGGCCTGGTGGAGTGCCTTCGCCCAACAACTTGGCTCCTTGGCGAGAGAGATCTGCCTTAACGGGTTCTGGTGAGGAAAGAGGCCTGAAGCGATGAGGAAGAAATCAATCCACTGTGAGAGACCACTTTTGGAAAGAGACCACTTTCGTACTCGGTTCTTTTAGTCCAATACTCTAGTTCTATCCCACAATGGGATTTGGATCGCTTCGTGTCTCCAGCATTGGCTTGCCCCAGCAGCATATAGCAGACTGGCACGTCAATGGATGCTTTGTTGTAGTGAGGATGGCAAGAGTTGCTTCGGTTGCTTTGCTTGTGGCCCCCTGCCACTTGCCCTTGGAATGGAAAGTCAAGGATCAGCATTCAGTGGTGGGTTCGTGGAGAGGCTGCAATCGGTTTCCACTGACTTTTTCAGGGGCTAACCAGGGCCGTTTTCGTCGGAAGCTCCTGTTCGACGGATTTGAGGAATTTATTGCAGAGGACTGCCGCTGCCTGCAGATAAATGTGGTCGAACTAGAGGGACTTGGCCTCGATATCAACATCCATTCAAGCCAAACCACGCATGCCGTCCACTGGATCCACACATATCGATGCTTTCTCCAGGTCTTGTCCGCACATGTGGCACCTGTTCATTGTTTGTCTTAGTGTCTTCCTATGCTGTCAACTTCTTTGTTGTCTCATGGATTCTTTTGTTGCTTGGAGTGGGGGGCTGGGGCACCAAAAACATGTATGTTATACGCCATCATTCATCATGATGGCAAAAGTCATTGCTGATGAAACTGTTTTGGGTCCAGATTTGCTGGTGATCATTGTTGGGCTGCAAGCAAAAACTTAGTGGTTTCTTCTACTCTTGGCGTGCCACCGCTCTGTGTTCTCGCTGGGGCTTTGCAATCTACAGCTTGCCCTCACTTCGCTCTGTGTTTGCTGCTGTGTTTAATGCGACAAGAGTGCAAATACCAGAGTTGGGCAAGATTGATTGATGCATAGTCATCGCCTTCCCATCCTCAACATTGCAACATTGCGCGTGTCCTTTTTGATTGTTGTGCCACAGTTTATTTGCTGAAAACCCCCGAGATCACCGGAAGT